TATTGTATTTAGTGGCGGAGGGGGGGTAGTGACAAGTGGCGCTTACCACTCGCGCGGTCCTGGGTTCGAATCCCAGGTCGACACCCGCCCAGGCCAACCAAGCCTTCTACCCTCCGGGGACGGTGAATTGGTACCAGATTCGTCTGGGAGGATAAAACACTGACTTGTACATCGGCTGGCCCCGCAAGTCATTGTATAGGCCACATCGCATTCAATAAGCCACTACGATTCTGAATGGAAGTAGAATGCGTGCCGCATCCCACAAAGGGATTGATTAACGGCGAAGACTTTATCCTTTATCCTTTACTCTTTCTCGATAGCCAGTTTCTCTTTTCGCCCTGTGGAACCTTGTTCGGCTTGAAAGGGGCATTTTGCACTTTCGCTAGTTCCCCTTGCTAATTCCTTTAAACAACATGTCTTACTTGAGACCGAAACTCTCGATAATGCATTGATCTACTGAAATTCACATGCCCCAAAATAGGGATTGGCAGTTACGAAGGGAAGCAGCTGAATGCAACCACCGAGACGACGCTCTTCGCTGGGCTTTCCGCGTTCAGTTCTTCAAGTAAAGTGATTTTCAAGCGATTTTTTTCAGATGTTGTTTCGTACTCACAACTCCTACACCCTCCCGAAGCTCTATGTGGACGGTGAGCGCTACAACCACTCGCTTTTAAATTACTGAAATGTCACAGTGGCTACTTGTTTCTGGGTTTTTCAGTAAGTAGGCGGAGAAATATGACAGACTAAAAAATTAAGGTCATGTCAATCTGAAATGGTTTATCTTAGATCGCTGTCAAACACCTTCACTGCTCAGCCCGTATACGCTTTCGGCGAGGGATCAACAGATACGCCTGTACTGTAAGTCTTTTAAGAAATGATAACAGCTCATAAAATAATGCGGAGAGGGTAGGGTAGATATTTAAAAGGCACTCCGCTCTCGTAGAGTATCCGCAAAACCTATTCGCATGGAGTAACGGTGCAGCGGGGGCCTGAGAACATTCCCGTTGAGCTAAGGCGCATCATTGTTGTCACAGGACCGTAATCTGCAGAGGTCAGTCGCATTTGGCGCCACGAAATTTTTTTAGTTGCGACTTATCCCATTTCAAGCGCGCTGTACCCCTTCGCTCAAACTAAAATTTTGAAAGAAGTTAAAAAGGGGCAAAAGGAGGGCTATCGAATAAGAAACTTGGTATCGCATTTTTGACGAAAGTTCTCCTCAAACTGCTCTGGAGTGGACCAACCCTTGGAATTCACATCTGCTTCAGGCTGAGCTACATACTGTAGTCCTCCCTTGACAATGAGGTGTGGCTTTCTTCTCGTGGCAGTCTAAGCAGTGGCAGGAGGTTTGCTAGGGCTCGGAGATATAAAGAATGTTCCACTCTAATAATTCACAAAATATTCCTGCAACATTTGGAGTATAGTTTTGGAGTCGATATTTCCGATCGAGTTCAATCAAGAAAATTATCATGGGTAATCTATCCTGTTAACCGAGACGGCGCTCACTATAAAAGAACGCAGCCTAGGCTTAGTGTCAGCAGGGTGGTTGCGCAGAACTGTGGGCTCAGGGTGTTGAGCAAGGGGACGACTCTTTAAAGGGTTTCAAGACTTTTTCCTGAAGAGAATAGATTTTTCCATCTACTTCTTAAATCTGATCACCTAGTCAACGCGAACTTTGATACCATTCGTCAAGAACGAAGCACCACGACTCCTCTGCATTTGATGTTCTATTTGAAGTGATGATTCCCCAACTTAAGGTGGCGTAGTGACGACCTGGTGTTCATTCCCAGGTCAGCCCGGATCAGACGCAGGGAAACCCAGCTTCTACTTCCGGGAAGGTAAAATGGTACCACGATCTGTCTCGGAATAAAAACTCTAGTGGCTGGCCCCGCAAGTCATTGTGTAGGCTACGTAGCATTCAATAAGCCACTACTGTTGAGGATAGAAGATATTTACTTGCCGCATCCCAAAAACAGGTTGGTCAACAGCCAGGGCTTTACTCTAGTAGCTTACTTTGCCGGGATATTTGGGCCTGAAGAAGGTTCTACGCACCGGAATATCGCCAGATAAGATTTTAAAAAGGATATAAAATAATAGATAGATAAGATAAGATATATTTTAAAAAACTTTTGAGACTTTTGCTGTCTTTTGAGTTTTTTGGAATAAACTTTTGGAGTTTCACATTGTTATTACACATTTAGATCAAGTAGCTTTATTAATATTTCTGGATACCGACGCTA